TCACCCCGTCCGCACACACTCACACTCCAAAACTAATAAATAAATACATAACTATTAAACTAATAACTAACAAACTAAATGAATATATAAATAAATACAACAAAAATCTGATTTCGGGAGGAAATGAGTAGGTGAAAAAAAGGACATGACCTGAGTACCTACCACCGTACACTGCATTTACACAGTATTGGTCACACAAATCATTGCAGAAGCGATTCCTCCAGAAGCGATTCCTCCTGCAATCCTGCTTTCACCTCGTCAATACTCTTCCAGAAATACATACATGTTTTATTCTAATAAAACAGCCATCTTGTGGGCAGTGATAAAAATACCCCAAAGAAAACGAATATTTGCATTATATTTTTTTCGGAAGATCCTTCACCCAAAGTCCTTGTACACAACAACAGTCAGATCTATTTCCCGTTATATTGTGTGGTTCTATTGTCCACCGCCGAGATGACATGTTAAACGAGACACTGTCGGAGTGGAATTACTTATCTCAAATCACGACGTGGACATCAATAGTCCACAAGTCCTACCACCACCACTTACCTCCCCTTGAGAAACCTGAACGTCATAGGTTCGGTACCAATAAACGTAAGTACCCCAAGCTGAGTGTGATCGACGGATTTCAGATTTCGATCAATTTGTTTATATCCCTATTGGCTTGGCATGGGGTCTGTATCGCCTGTATGATCCTGAATACGATAAACCTAGGGCACTGTAAACACTCTTAGTAAGCTTATCATCTAGTTCGAACGCTGTCAGTGAATGTTAACAAGGGTTTCATTGCTCGACAGTCTGTCAAATGTTGAATACACACAATAGCGGATAGAACAACAACGACCAGTGATAAAGCCCCCAGACTGATAAGAAATCGCAAAAGGCTTATTTTTCTACAACAGCCAAATGTGTAATAAGAGGACTTAAGTTATAATATAATTTGATAGTAATTCGACTGACTGACTGACTGAGTTTAGTTTTACGCCGCTTTTAGCAATATTCCAGCAATATCACGGCGGGGGACACCAGAAATGGGCTTAACACATTGTGCCCATGTGGGGAATCGAACCCGGGTCTTCGGCGTGATGAGCCAACGCTTTAACCACTAGGCTACCCCACCGCCCCCGATAGTAATTCGAGATTGATCCGGTTTCATTGATATATCCGTAACAGGAACTACGAAAACAAGTTCGTCATGTTTGGTTTGGTTGGTTGCTGTTTAACGCCGCACTCGGCAAATATTCCAGCTGTATGGTGTCGGTCTGAGAATCATCGAGTTGACCAGAAAATCCAGTGATCAACAGCATGAGCATCGATCTACGCAATTGGGATGTAGTCATGGTATCAGTCTGAGCAAACGAGTGAAAACCCATAGGGAACTGATATTTTTATAACGTGGCAAATTAACCAATCAGTACCATTTCTTCTAAAATACCTTTACACGTGATTTAAATTTGCACTATTGCAATACGTTATTGTATTTGGCGCTTCAGTTCGAGTTGCACACAGACATCTTTAAAAGTATGCATGCTGTAAGGGCTCTAGTATGTATCATTATGTCCGGTGTTGATATACTATAATGGGTTTTGGATAATGGTGACTTATTACGCGTACTCAACGCTAACAGGCAGCTTGTGGCACAGCATGGGTCGACCACGGACGTGACTAATTATTTGTGGACTCACACCATAGCTTGTATGATTAACTTGTTTATGCTGTACATGTATAAGGTTAGAGCCGAACTCGGCGATTTATATGCCATAGGTGAGGCGAAATTGGGTTTAACGTCGTGCTTGAGAATATTTCGCAAATATGACGACATGCATGCGTGTGTATGTGTATGTGCGGCTGCTTGTACTAGCCCAGACTTAAGCTGGTTTTATAGTGCTAGCCCACTGAGATACCATACCGCAAAATGCCAATTGTGGTAACTACGGACGGTAGCTGCCGAAAGTGCCAAATGTTGTAGATGCAGGCAGAAATGCAGAAAAATGCCAATTGTGGTTGCTACAGACAGTGCTGCAGAAAATGCCAATTGTGGTTACTGCAGAAAGAATTGCAGAAACGCCAAATATTCCAGCTGCAGACAGAATTGCAGAAACGTCAAATCTGTTAGCAACAAACAGAATTGCAGAAACGCCAAATGTTGTAGCTGCTGACAGAATTGCAGAAAATGCCAATTGTGGTTGTCGCAGAAAGAATTGCAGAAAAATGACAAATGTGGTAGCTACAGACAGAATTGCAGAAACGCCAAATGTTGTAGCTGCTGACAGAATTGCAGAAAATGCCAATTGTGGTTGTCGCAGAAAGAATTGCAGAAAAATGACAAATGTGGTAGCTACAGACAGAATTGCAGAAACGCCAAATGTTGTGGCTGCAGACAGAATTTCAGAAAATGACAAATGTGGTAGCTGCAGACAGAATTGCAGAAAATGACAAATGTGGTAGCTACAGACAGAATTGCAGAAACGCCAAATGTTGTGGCTGCAGACAGAATTTCAGAAAATGACAAATGTGGTAGCTGGACAGAATTGCAGAAAATGACAAATATGGTAGCTACAGACAGCATTGCAGAAACGCCAGATATTGTGGCTGCAGACAGAATTGCAGAAAATGACAAATGTGGTAGCTAGACAGAATTGCAGAAAATGACAAATGTTGTTGCTGCAGACAGAATTGCAGAAAATGACAAATGTGGTAGCTGCAGACAGAATTGCAGAAAATGAAAAATGTTGTAGCTGCAGACAGGGTTTCAGACAAATTACAAACGTGGGAACACCTGTAAGTTTAAGACAAGTCACAAATGTTGTTTTGATTTGTATTTTAACTCTACATTCGGCAACATTCCAGCTATACGACGGTGGCCTGTAAATAACAAACATTTGACCAGATAATCCCGATACCTTTCGATGCTTCATTTGGCAACTATGGGTTGCATTCAACCATCACCGGTTAAATGGCTTTCAGACATCACATCACTGCAGAAAGATTTTCAGACAAATCATTATGTTTCGAGTCCTCATGTAAGTAATTTCAAAGTATGAAGAAATCAGTTCCTTACAAAACAACAGCGAGGGTCTGTTTACACAATCGTATAAAGCTGGAAGTTATACCATTTTCAGCCATTTAAAGTCGAAGAACGGTCACTGCCATTTGATTGTAGTTCTTGGATCTGGACAACAGAGCATTGTCATGTGGAACATTTCTGATGATTGTTACTGGCAGCAGATTGAAGCACTCATAAAATATGAGTGGCCTCCGGTCGTTCATGCATCCAAGCATCACGAGCTTAACACCTTCTGTACCCTCACAGTTCTACCCACTGTGAAGAGTTTTTCTTTCCAGTTGTCCGTTTACTTCTGGGACGTACTTCCCGATTCGAGAAACGCTGCTTCACACTTTCAAAAGCGTTCTATCCATACACCTGGAAATACGTTAATCACCACCGGAAAGTTGTACAAAGTTGTAAGTTTCGGCTAACATCAGTAGTGTGCACGCAGTACGTTGGTAAAGCTGCATGCTGTTTCTGTACGATCATGTCTTGCCTACAAGGAAACACAAAATAGGACAGTTTCCTTCCGTCTTTTGATAATAATATTCTGTTTTTGGTCAGTGATACCTGTTACAAGTAAGGAGCTTAAGAGAGGACCACGTAACATGGCGTGTATGTGAGACAATTACGTTTATTGGTAACCTGGGAACGTTGTACATTCAATATCAAGTGTACCATACATGTGCTTGGATAACTGCCTGTACGTCGCATACCCCGTGGTATCTGCTTCCAACTCTCGCAGATTTTGAACAAGTCCTAATGTGCTCCAGGGGGTTCTGGACTCATGGCGGCCACCGAAGGTGTTACTTCTTAAAACTGTCACTGCACGAGGACGTTGTGGCCTAACGATGGCACCCAGGTCCTGGGTCGTCCAGAAATTGGGCGATCCTTCGCCTCATTGGTTTCCCTGTATTTTCTGACCAGACGACTGACAACCGAGTCATGCATACCAATAATTTGCCATTTCTTCTTCGTTCCACAGTGGCAGAAAATATGACTGAACACTGTAAGACATGCAGATTAAATACCGACATGAGGCACGTGCACAAACAGCAATTGTAAAAATTCGTGGGTTTGAACATAGGTCAACTTGTTTAGAGGTGCTTAACCTTTTTCCAGGAGTATATATAAGAGCGAGACAAGCGCGACGAGGCCTTCTACAGTTAGACTTGCCCAATGCCAATGGGACATCTATATGAGCGACCTTTCTGCCTACTTCCAACACTGTTTACTGGATGCATGAACGGCGCAGGTTCATCATTCGAGGCAGTTGACTGCTGAATTCTGGACACCCGTAATAGGGACGATTATCGATTGCTTCCGCGACATATTTCACAAAGTGTACCGGTAATTGTCTCATGTGACTGTGGGCGTAATCATGTGTGTTTCTGCATATTGGTTTTTCCTTGATCTTTTACGGTTAATTACGGATTTCGCCATTTTGCATTGAAGGCTACGATTCCCCAAATAACTTTCATTTTTCAACTTCGTACTCAACCAATAACAGCTTCAATTCAAGTTTCAAGGAACTTGATACTGATAAAACAATATTTATTATTACAAGCATCCATAAAAGGATTTAAAGTGTGGCGGTTTCTGAGATGACAAAAATGCTTTCTCAACAATGTTCACTGAGGGTAAATGATGAAGGACACTAGGAACTTGTTATGTCACTGTTGACACAGAATAGTTGCAGCTAAACCTGACTTCAGATGTCTTGTAACATTTAATTTAGTTTTAACTTTAATGGAAATGAGGTTGGATAAATCTTTGAACAAATGGAGAGACAGTCAACAAAATTGACTGGAAATGGATGCATCCAATACCAGGCCACAGAGACCTCACCATGTGAATTATGGAACATGCTACAAACAACATAGAAACCAAAGGAGCTTAAACAAAATATTTCATGTTTTATTGATACAAGGACACAAAGAAAATAACAACAGATTTGGTTTGGATTATTTACATGTATATATCCAGTCAAACATTGGTAAATCTTCAAAAGGTATCGACATCCATAGTTCATAACAATAACAACCGTTGGTGATACATATGGTGACACTGACAGGTCACCATGGTCACCATGGTCACCATGCTACAAAGGTCAGCACCCACAGTATCACACAACACAAGGTGACCAGATACTGATAAGGCCTAAAGTTTGCTCTTCTCTTAGTAATATTTCACTGGCCAGGAAATAATCAAATCTCAACCAGATAAACTACTGATTGATATTATTACATCGTCATTTCTTTCTTTGCCTTTGGTATACATGCAGCTACTGAGTCATCAACCATGACCGACCTCCCAAGCCTAGATTGACGTTTACCTACATTCTTAACCAGAATCGTCACTGAACATGAAAAAAAGGCTCTAAAGCACACTGTTGATTGACATTGCAGCACACGCAGTGGAAGTTATTTCTTAGACACCATTTCTGTTTAATACGGAAAAGAAATATGTGCCGAAAACAATGTTTGTCATAAATGATTGTTGAATTTGTAGTGATACTAGCTGACATACTGCAACATCTTCCCTCTTCAGAACTTGTGTTTCATCATTGCTAATAGGGCTGCGATGATCGTCCTCTTCTTTTTAACTTGACTTTGCTCTAAAAACAGAACAACATAGACGCAATTATACACAAGTAAGGATCCCTAGATGTAATTTCAATTAAGCTAAATTACAAATCTGAAATAAGCTTTTACTAAAAAAAACCCCATTTACTTCAACCGGAGATCATGCACAGCTTTATGTACAAAGGGAGATTACTCTACATCTGATCAAACTTGATGGTCGCTTTGTGCAAACACTGGTGTTAATGTTTAATCAGCAGCATTGCAGCTATATCATGATTGCCTGTTTACTCATATCTGGAGTTGACAAACCAGGGATTGATATCATGAGCAACATCCCACACTGATGGGATACAATGACATACAATGACTGGCGTCAACTAAAGTAGCTAAACTTCAGTTTGTTTCAAAACTTTAAGATCCTTATTTCTTTCAGGAAACAAAATAGTTTTTCAAAGATTTGGATAAACTTTTCAAAATCCAGTTTGAGACTGAAATATCCATGCACTTACCTTTGATGTGACCTTTGCTGAGGGTTTGGTTTGAGTTGACCACAGACACAGCAGGGAATCTTCCCCTCCTGTCACTAGGGTTTCATTCTGGGGAGGAGAAACACTGCATGAAGCAACACTTATAGGAGCCTGATGGCAGACCAATAGCTGTGGGTAGGAGAAATTACTCTATGATTGGATCATACTGATTAACATACAGGGGTGTGCTGACCAGCTGACAAATCAACTCTATATCCATATTGACAAATCAACGTCATATCCATATTCTACAGTATTGTACATGTTCCAGGTCACATCTCTGGGTTAACGTCTAAGCATTAATGATGTTCAGATCTAACAGCTGGTCATGTTCACATCCATGAGCCCATCATGTTCACTTCAACATTGAAGGATCAGTCTCATCAATAAGAGTCAGTCACATAACGACACAGTCAATACATATCATGTGCACAACTCCATCTGGTCTAAGAGTCAGTATAGTCCAAAGTTCAATGCAACCATGTGTCAAATCAAAGAGTCAAAGGTCAGTTATGTCATGGTCATAGGCATCCAGTGTTCGTCAATAGAGGCAATAGCTCACCTGAGCATCCCAGTTACAGCAGCGTAGCCGGTCTGTGTGTCCGCCGCTGCCCAGGGTGTGAACCACATTCACATCATTATCTTCAACTTCAAGAATCCTTACATCGCCTCTACAAACAACCATACATAAGCTTTAATGCTATAAGGGACTGTTCATAATTTATTTTATTATTATTTTATTTATTATTATTTTTTATTTATTTATTATTTATTTTTTTAAAAATTGGGAGAGAGAAGAGGAGGAGGGAAAAGAGAGAAAGAACGGGGAGGGAAGAGAGAGCAGGGATGATGATGAGTTTAAGGGGGTTCACCTATTTTGTCTTGGGGAGGTAGGGGTCATCAATTTTGTATACATGTACTAAGGGGTCATCAATTTTGTACACAAAAATATAAAAGAATTATGCTTACAAAATCTGGGAAGGGGGGGAAATTGATTTTCACATGACGTGTGGTGGGGGGTACTGACTTTGTACATACATTTTAGGGGGGGGTCACTCACATTGTACATGCTTCTCCATAAAATCATCATCACCCCCCTGCCATAAATTATGAACGGTCCCTAAGATTGCTTAAAATTACATACCGGTAGATGTCTCAGGCAAGCTGCCTGCTACAAAAGCTATATTAATGGTCCACATATACATTACACTTCTCAGATCTTGTATTAATGTTGTCCTCTTTTGAACTGCTTGACATATCTGAGATTGGCTCGGTCACCAGTAATCAAACATATACACACAGGACATGGGAACAAGCAAAATGTAACAGTACCAATGTTATCACTGGGCCAACTGTTATCTTGAGATAAACACTGGTCACAACCAAGTGACAGGAACCAGTGTTGGAGACAGGAACTCACCCATATGTCCCTGCAACCAATATGTCCATGCTGTCACTCTCTGGCTGGAGGAGGTCGACTATGTAGTCAACAGAGGCAGCCCCCTGGAAACACAGCACTGATACGTCCACACCAGTCATCATATAGGTTTATTTGGTTGTTCTTTCATTTGTTGCTGTATGCCAAACTCAGCAATATTCCAGCTATGTGGCGGCAGTCTGTAAATAATTGAGCCTAAGCCAGACAATCCAGTGATCAACCGCATGAACATCGATCTATGCAACAGGGATACGATGACATGTGTCAACCAAGTCAGTGAGCCTGACCCCCGGTCCCATTGGTTGGACAAGCATAGGTTGCTGAAGACCAATTCTAACCTGAATCTTTACATGTACATCACAGATGTTTCCTCAACACTGATACTTCCACACTTCATCACAGACATATTCTACACATACATTGATGGACTAGTGGATAATATTTAGATGTTCTGGAAAACAAGGATAGACATACACATTGTTTTAAGTGTGTCAGGGCTTTCACAAAGATGACTTCAGCCCTCTGGAAAGGAAACGTCTAACAAAAGACCAAACTATCCATCTTCATTAATGTCACATTCACCATGAGCTAAAGCAAAAGCATGCCAATTTTGAATGCCTACCCTCTGTTTTAAATTAAGAATGATACTATTATTCTCAATTTCAGAATCTGAATACACTTAATCTGGAAACCAACCCTCTGGATGATGACTACTTGTAATGTTAAACATACATATTTATCACCCATATGGTGAAATATAACCAGTGTCAGATATATCACTTTTGCCTAGCAACCATTGTTTCTGTATTTCATCGTCTGTGACGTCATTAAACAATTAAACATGCCGTCAATGAAGAGGGCCTTCACACTTGCTTACCGTGTTTTACTGCACATATGTACATGAATAAAATGGATTATAAAGAAATTATTACACTCGAGCAAGTGTGTCATATGATTTATACAAATCTCATGCAAAATTATGTATTACCCTCGCTCTAGCTAGTGAGAGTAATACACTTGAGCACATGCTCGCACTGACAAACCAAGGATATAGTGAGGGGGAATTCTGGGATTAGAATCTGTGACCATCAGATACTGTAACCACTATGGGCACAACAGTGAACTGCAGCACCTTAGATGACAGGGCCAGTCACACACCCACTTTCTTCACAGACAGCTTCTCTATAGCTAATAGTTATCCTTGGAAATATAGGGAGCATTTCATTTGTGTTTACATCATACAGACTCGATTAATTATTACATACAAATATAATACACAAGTTCTGACATGGTCTCTTAAAATCAGAAGGACACACTTAAAATTTAATGTAAAGTTTTCATATGCATGATCTTTGGTCTTTAACTTTGTCATACTATAGTTCAAGTTGATGGCAGTATACCTAATCAATTTTCTCACCTGTAGTTTATCTTTTACATTGTTAACTCTCGCTTCTTCATCACCCTAAAACAAAAAATACCCAAAATTATGGCAGATTCAACAGAGTTAAAATTATAATAGAAAGGCTCTGTAGTTCACCAAGATGAAAGACGCCCACTTTTTAAGATTCTGGCAGTTCTGAAGTTTCTCTCTTTCTGTAGACATCTACCCTGCCTCTTACCTCCACTGTGTCCCAGACATGAAACGTGTCTATAGATGTCAAACAGCAGACTTTGGTACGTCTGCTCCCATACCAGCCAATCGAGTTCTGCAAAGAAAGCATGTTGTTTTCACCTTGTATTTCATCATTGCATTTATATCAATCTGCTTACCTTGATGGTATATTTCATGCTAGAAGTTTCTTACATTGGACAGAAGGTACAAGGAGCTGCTGTTAATTTATAAATAAAAAAAACTCTCTAAAATCAACTTCCACCAAGTGGAGATTCTGGGTTAGAATATGTCCTCAGTAAAGTTTCCTTGTAAGAGTGAGTTTCAGTTTTACATCGGTTCAGTTTTACATCACTTTTAGCAATATTCCAGCAATATCACTGCTGGGGACACCAGGAAAGGACTTCACACATTGTACCCTGCTTGCGAGTAATAGGTTTCTTTATAGATTAATTTGTCCAACTTGATGATGTGGCTGAAAGTGGGTCTTCATATTCTGGGTCTAATGCTGCTTTGAACAGTATTCCAGTTACATCACAGCAAGTCAGTTTCATGTAGGAAGAAAGCTGATGCAGGTATTAATGTTTACCTCTTTGGTGAAGCCCACAAGCCCAGTCTAGTGCTGACAAAACCTAGAGACATAACTGAAGGAAGTCAATCAATCAATGACGTCTTCAAACACCCTGTACTGTGCGTAAGAGTAGTGAGTGAATGAGTAAGCATAGTTACATGTCACTTCAGTTATATCCGAGCAATATCATGGCGGAGGACACCAGAAACGGGCTTCACACATGGAACCAGTTCATGGGAATCAGCCTGGAATGGCATTCACCATTTGGCTACACACCCACCCACGTGAATGGATGACTATGAAGGTTTATTTCCAGCGGCACCTACCACTGAGCATTCAGCATTGAAGGTATAGAGCAGAGCATCGTCCTCGCTAGTCTGGGAGACGTCAAAGACACAGACAAGGCCATCTACACATGATGTTGACAGTCGGTCTTTGTCACTGGGGTGGAATTTTACCTGGAACATATTTAGACACATTTTCAAACATAAATTGTAACCACAGTAACCATTGTTCCTTGGCTTTCAAGTTTACCCTTCAATAAACTCAAACTGTCAAAGAAGTGTCCAAGTGCTGTTACTGCTACTCTCACCTGAGTTATGTCCCCTTGATGGGATTCATCATAGCAGCCCATAAGTTCAGCCTTCCGTCGGTCCCTGCAATAAAAAACATCAGTGATATTTAGGACACATTGTAGTTAAGAGATGACTTAATATAGCACATCAGATAGTGAAACAATAGATAACATTATTTGAAAAGATAAGGTGTGGTAAATAAACTGAACAAAGTTGCACAGTACTGAACCAGTTCAACTTGCTGCATTATAGTCCTTTCTACTGACATGGGAAGATCAAACACCTGGCAGATTTTAAAACCCCAAAATCATTTAAAAGCAGCTGTACAATTGACACCGAGGTTTGAAATTGGAGTTTCCTAAAGATAAGGATTTTACTGAGATCGTTCTATAAGGCATTGAACATGTTGAGTGGACAAGATCCTGACTGTAGCAGCTTGGATCAAAGGTCATATGCGAGTGAGTGAGTTTAATTTTATGCCACACTCAGCAATATTCCAGCTATATGGCAGTGGTCTGTAAATAATCGAGTCTGGACCAGACAATCCAGTGATCAACGGCAATTGGGAACCGATGACATGTGTCAACCAAGTCAGCGAGCCTGACAGTGTGACAAGTGAATGCTTTAACCACTAGGCTACACCACCGCCCTGACATAAATATGTAGTTGAGAGATGTCATGAACATTTAGAATTATTTCAAGTGAGCGACTTCTCACCAAAATAAGATGTATGCACTGCCGCCATCCTCCTCGGTCCCTGCACACAGCAGCTTGTCAGTGCAGTCAATGTCCAGACAGGTCAGCTTGGGGCTCACGGTGGCAGGGGCTGCAGAGGAAGACGACACTATGCTGATTCAATACCACGAGTGTGGAAGTTGGGCTTAACATTGCCTTGAACATGCATGGCTTAGTTAACACTGGTGGAAATAGCTATGTCTTAGACCTTTTTGCAGCTTTGTGAAATTCCCTGAACACTCTTAGAGTGGAGTGGGGAAGTAGTCTAAAGTGGCTTGATGTACCAAATCTGAGGTCAAATCCGTCTAGTTACCAGGATATGTACATACATACGAAACACAAAGTGTTAAAACATGTGGTGTTACCCAGTGTTAGAGGCAATATTGTCCAGCAATATCATGGTGGGGGACACCAGAAATGGGCATCACACATTGTACCCTCGTGGAGAATCTAACCCGGGTCTTCAGCATGATGAGCAGACGCTTTAACCATTAGGCTACCCCACCACCCCTAGACATATAGGGACAATAAATTTGATACAAAGACATATAGGGACAATAAATGTGATACAAAGACATATAAGGACAATAAATGTGATACAAAGACATATAAGGACAATAAATGTGATACAAAGACATATAGGGACAATAAATGTGATACAAAGACATATAAGGACAATAAATGTGATACAAAGACATATAGGGACAATAAATGTGATACAAAGACATATAAGGCCAATAAATGTGATACAAAGACATATAAGGCCAATAAATGTGATACAAAGACATATAGGGAAAATAAATGTGATACAAAGACATATAGGGACAATAAATGTGATACAAAGACATATAGGGACAATAAATGTGATACAAAGACATATGAGGACAATAAATGTGATACAAAGACATATAGGGACAATAAATGTGATACAAAGACATATAGGGACAATAAATGTGATACAAAGACATATAGGGACAATAAATGTGATACAAAGACATATAGGGACAATAAATGTGATACAAAGACATATAGGGACAATAAATGTGATACAAAGACATATAAGGCCAATAAATGTGATACAAAGACATATAAAGACAATAAATGTGATACAAAGACATATAAGGACAATAAATGTGATACAAAGACATATAGGGACAATAAATGTGATACAAAGACATATAAGGCCAATAAATGTGATACAAAGACATATAAGGCCAATAAATGTGATACAAAGACATATAGGGCCAATAAATGTGATACAAAGACATATAGGGACAATAAATGTGATACAAAGACATATAGGGACAATAAATGTGATACAAAGACATATGAGGACAATAAATGTGATACAAAGACATATAGGGACAATAAATGTGATACAAAGACATATAGGGACAATAAATGTGATACAAAAAGACATATAGGGACAATAAATGTGATACAAAGACATATAGGGACAATAAATGTGATACAAAGACATATAGGGACAATAAATGTGATACAAAGACATATAAGGCCAATAAATGTGATACAAAGACATATAAAGACAATAAATGTGATACAAAAAGACATATAAGGACAATAAATGTGATACAAAGACATATAGGGACAATAAATGTGATACAAAGACATATAGGGACAATAAATGTGATACAAAGACATATAGGGACAATAAATGTGATACAAAGACATAATAGGGAAACAATAAATGTGATACAAAGACATATAAGGACAATAAATGTGATACAAAGACATATAGGGACAATAAATGTGATACAAAGACATATAGGGACAATAAATGTGATACACAGACATATAAGGCCAATAAATGTGATACAAAGACATATAGGGACAATAAATGTGATACAAAGACATATAGGGACAATAAATGTGATACAAAGACACATAAGGACAATAAATGTGATACAAAGACATATAGGGACAATAAATGTGATACAAAGACATATAAGGACAATAAATGTGATACAAAGACATATAGGGACAATAAATGTGATACAAAGACATATAAGGACAATAAATGTGATACAAAAGACATATAGGGACAATAAATGTGATACAAAGACATGTAGGGACAATAAATGTGATACAAAGACACATAAGGACAATAAATGTGATACAAAGACATATAGGGACAATAAATGTGATACAAAGACACATAAGGACAATAAATGTGATACAAAAAGACATATAGGGACAATAAATGTGATACAAAAAGACATATAGGGACAATAAATGTGATACAAAGACATATAGGGACAATAAATGTGATACAAAGACATATAGGGACAATAAATGTGATACAAAGACATATAGGGACAATAAATGTGATACAAAGACATATAGGGACAATAAATGTGATACAAAGACACATAGGGACAATAAATGTGATACAAAGACATATAAGGACAATAAATGTGATACAAAGACACATAGGGACAATAAATGTGATACAAAGACATATAAGGACAATAAATGTGATACAAAAAGACATATAGGGACAATAAATGTGATACAAAAGACATATAGGGACAATAAATGTGATACAAAGACATATAAGGCCAATAAATGTGATACAAAGACATATAAAGACAATAAATGTGATACAAAAAGACATATAAGGACAATAAATGTGATACAAAGACATATAGGGACAATAAATGTGATACAAAGACATATAGGGACAATAAATGTGATACAAAGACATATAGGGACAATAAATGTGATACAAAGACATATAGGGACAATAAATGTGATACAAAGACATAATAGGGAAACAATAAATGTGATACAAAGACATATAGGGAAAATAAATGTGATACAAAGACATATAGGGACAATAAATGTGATACAAAGACATATAGGGACAATAAATGTGATACACAGACATATAAGGCCAATAAATGTGATACAAAGACATATAGGGACAATAAATGTGATACAAAGACATATAGGGACAATAAATGTGATACAAAGACACATAAGGACAATAAATGTGATACAAAGACATATAGGGACAATAAATGTGATACAAAGACATATAAGGACAATAAATGTGATACAAAGACATATAGGGACAATAAATGTGATACAAAGACATATAAGGACAATAAATGTGATACAAAGACATATAGGGACAATAAATGTGATACAAAGACATGTAGGGACAATAAATGTGATACAAAGACACATAAGGACAATAAATGTGATACAAAGACATATAGGGACAATAAATGTGATACAAAGACATATAAGGACAATAAATGTGATACAAAGACATATAGGGACAATAAATGTGATACAAAGACATATAGGGACAATAAATGTGATACAAAGACATATAGGGACAATAAATGTGATACAAAGACATATAGGGACAATAAATGTGATACAAAAGACATATAGGGACAATAAATGTGATACAAAGACACATAGGGACAATAAATGTGATACAAAGACATATAAGGACAATAAATGTGATACAAAGACATATAGGGACAATAAATGTGATACAAAGACATATAAGGACAATAAATGTGATACAAAGACATATAGGGACAATAAATGTGATACAAAGACATATAGGGACAATAAATGTGATACAAAGACACATAGGGACAATAAATGTGATACAAAGACATATAAGGACAATAAATGTGATACAAAAAGACATATAGGGACAATAAATGTGATACAAAGACATATAAGGACAATAAATGTGATACAAAGACATATAGGGACAATAAATGTGATACAAAGACATATAAGGACAATAAATGTGATACAAAGACATATAGGGACAATAAATGTGATACAAAGACATATAAGGACAATAAATGTGATACAAAGACATATAGGGACAATAAATGTGATACAAAGACATATAGGGACAATAAATGTGATACAAAGACATATAGGGACAATAAATGTGATACAAAGACATATAGGGACAATAAATGTGATACAAAGACATATAAGGACAATAAATGTGATACAAAGACATATAGGGACAATAAATGTGATACAAAGACATATAGGGACAATAAATGTGATACAAAGACATACAAGGACAATAAATGTGATATAAAGACATATGAGGACAATAAATGTGATACAAAGACATATAGGGACAATAAATGTGATACAAAGACATATAGGGACAATAAATGTGATACAAAGACATATAGGGACAATAAATGTGATACAAAGACATATAAGGCCAATACATGTGATACAAAGACATATAAGGACAATAAATGTGATACAAAAAGACATATAAGGACGATAAATGTGATACAAAGACATATAGGGACAATAAATGTGATACAAAGACATATAGGGACAATAAATGTGATACAAAGACATATAAGGACAATAAATGTGATACAAAGACATATAGGGACAATAAATGTGATATCTAGAGAATACTACTCGAGGTCTCATTACATACGAATTATACGAAACGAGTGTCCTTCCTGTGGTATCTGACCGAGCGAAAGCGAGGTCAGATAACATAGGAAGGTCACGAGTTTCGTATTATTTGTATGTAATGAGACCGAGTGTGGTATTTTATTTATTACCCACGTCTTACATGCATGAAATTGACAAAATAGCGTATTTTTATTATGTTTTTGGTTTCAAACCGAAACCGGTTTCATAAAGAGGTTGCGGAAGAGTTTTGTACTGTAGTACAATATTTGCATGACGTCACACTGTAATGACGTCACTACCTTGGTAACCAACGTCACGATGCATGTCAGTTGTCATCGCCTCGTACAGTCTCCTACAGTAAACTACTCCGTAGCACCTCGTTTCCTGGTTTCCAGTTGCTTCATTTGGCTAACATCACTGGTGGAAACATTGCGTTTATGTTTTTAGAAAGGATATAATGTCTCAGTTCGACTCACAAGTAAACAGCGACACGGCAACGTTCGCAATGTTTACATTCCCACAATGCATTTAAGTTGTAGAATGAATGAATTCACGTGTTTGTTATGAATGAAAAAATAGTTACGTCACAATGTGACCCAAATGAGAGGTCATCGGTTATCCAATCAAATGGTTAGAATCTCAGGTCAAGTCGTTACGACACAGGTCAACGCGATATGACACTCGTGTGATGTACGAGATTAGTATGCAACTACCCATACGTTGACCTCGTGGGTAATAAAAAGACATATAAGGACAATAATAAGTGGTATGGAGCTGACAAATCCCCATGATCATGGAGAATCAGAATGGAGATTAGCAACTCCTGCAATGCCTATGGACCAATATGCCACCCACAACAATTCCTTTATGTCACATAATACATGCTTCTCACAAGATGACGACTCTACTGAGCTATTCAGATGTGAGATAGAGCTAAAATTGGAATGTTATTTAGTCTTTGTAGAGAAGAATACTTGATGAAACTAATGTTTCACTGTAGAACCTGGATGCCAACAAAACTAGAGATGGTTCAACTCTAACACGGTTATCTTAAATTTACCTGTAAATGTCTGCACTTCTTTATCCATCCCCACACGGAGATCCCAGCATCTGGAAATATGAAGGACATTTTTCATTTCTTTGCTGACATTGAACCTTTGTGTGAATAATTTGTGAGTGCAGGTAGGAGAAATAACAGAAAGACTTTTCAAATTATTGTGTAATTTCTTGAACCCTGGATTTCAATTTATTTTGCCATGGATTTTAAATTGTAATTAAAAGTAATAAAACACACTGATTCTTATGATTCTCCAGTGAAAGTTATTATAATAAATGTGTTGGATAGTGGACACTTTCAAATTTCTTAGGCATGTGAAAAAAGATTTGGGACCAAGTTGTCAGAAGGTTAGTTCATATTCAGTCTAAAAGGAACCAGAAATACAGTCATTTCATACATGGCATTACAGATGATTAACCTTTGCCTCAGAGGTGAGGTGAGGCGAAATAGGGTTTAACGTCGTACTTAAGAATACTTCGCTCATATGACAATGTACAAGCCTGTGTATGTGTGGCTTCTTGTACTAGCCCAGACTTCAGCTGGTTTTATCGTACTAGCTCACTGAGATACCATGCTGCAGTTAAGCATGAATACCCCACTCAGACACATTATACTGACTCCGAGCCGACCAGTCCTTGTTGTACCCATTAATGCCGAATGCCAGGACAGGGACCAACAAGTACCATATTTTAACATCTTTTGGTATGATGCGGCCGGAGATCGAACCCGCGACCTTCTGCTCTTCGGGCGGACGCTCTAACCACTACACCACGGAGTCGGCCACCTATGCCTGAGAACCCAAACAGTTGCTCTAAAATGAATATTTGCAAAGATGTAAGAATTATATAGATTAGGTTACAGAACCAACCTGAGAGTCTCATCATGAGAGGAAGAGAAGAGCAGACTGGGCTCTGTCTTCCCAAAGGTGACACCAGACACCACATCTGTGTGACCTGAACACAAGGGAGACAACTTGTAGTAATTACAGTTCCTACCAGAACACCACCACTCTTACAGTCAGTGAGTTTAGTTTTACGCTACTTTTAGCAATATTCCACCAATATCATGTGGAAGACACTAGAAATGGGCTTCACACATTGTCGGTTTAAGTTTAACCACTAGGCTATCCAACCACCCCACCACTGCCCCACCACTCTTACACCCTTTGCATCATTTCACTGGTTGTTGTGTAACGTGGCACTCAGCAATATTCCAGCTCTATGGTCTGTAAATAATCAAGTCTGGACCAGACAATCCAGTGATCAACAGCATGAGCATCGATCTACACAACTGGGATACGATGACATGTGTCAACCAAATCAGCGAGCCTGACCACCTGATCCCGTTAGTTGCCTCTTACGACAAGCTTGGGTTACTGAAGACCAATTCTTACACGGATCTTCACAGGTCTTGACTCGCATCAAATGGATATCAGAATAAGGTTGACTTGGCTCTCAGAAGGATACTCCTGGCAAATATTTTCTGTCTGCAAGAACAATGGTTTAGGGAGTTACAGGGTTGCTGTGTGTGGCATAAAACTAAACTCACTCACTCACTACAGGGTTGCTGATGATACGGTTCTGGTACCCCAATTTAGCAGCTCTCACACGTTACCGGTAATATAAAATATCAATAAAACACTACTAACTTACAATTTTCACACATGTAAAATGACGTATGTTTTTTTGGGTCAATTTTATAAAAAGACAACCAATCATATTCACCATATTCATGATATTTTAAACTAAATGAAATGGCCATTGTCCAGACATTAGTTTAATCCAATCTCATAACCATGGTTACCATGTTTACCTTTGATGCTTCCAACATTTGCCAGATTTGCTCGGCTGTATATCCTGATGTTATAGTTGCTACTTGTTGCTGCTAGGCGGCCATCACTTCCACTGAAAATATGTCAACAAATTTTCTACACCACAGTTTTCAAAACCATGAGCAATTGAGTCCATATTGCTTAATGCAACTTTGAACAGTATTCCAGTTTTATGGCATGACAACTGAATATGGGTGTAGGCATATTACATGTCTCCAAACTGTGCAGGCAGTAAATGTTTCCCTTTGGTGAAATCTGAATGGACTGGCATCATAGGTAGTGTGCTTACAGATCAACATCAGTACCCCTATCTGTAATCATATACATTAGGGTGGAAGAATCCATGACAAGAAGTCCAGTCTGGGAGTTTAGCAAGCTTAAGGCAACATACATGATATACAATGTATATGAGATTGTAGGTCCTAGAGGAGATATCATATTGCGTAACTTTGCATTATTTCCGCTGTATGTCCAGTTACTGAACAGTGTATGAAAATCATAAACAACATGACAAATTGCTAAACCATATGTTTGCTAGGGCTAGAGATCAATTTAGATCATAGACATCGATAACCGTTAGCTAAATATTGATCGATTATTGACAAATATTGGAAAAGCAAGTACCAAAAATGTCTGAAATAAATATATTTCACATCACTGGTGAGTGGTGACACATTCATGCATGGATTTAAATACCTTAAAAATCCCAAACAGCATCCTGAACATAATTTAAAAGCAGCTCATGAATAAAGATTGATTTAATTTTGTGAACTGTGTGAGTAAATAACAAATTAAAACTTTATTCAAGACAAGAGTTTATGATTAATATTATCTATGACACAAACTTCCTATAGATGATCATTAATAACTCTTCTCATTGACGATATTTCCGATTATCAATCTTTTCAGACCACCCACATTGTTATGAGGATGCGTTTTTGTTAATTATGTCACATTAATTAACTTTTAGTTATTATGGGTCACAAAAGTTTAAAGCGCTGAGTTTGGATCTGAACTCACACCTTGAACTTAGGCTGTGTATTTTCACCTGTTAAGAGTTGATTTGAAGTTCGGAATTGAAGTCCCGCTCTCTACCAAGTGAGCTACAGGAGACTCGATAAGTAAAGGTTCAAAATTTAGGGTCATACCGGTACTTGCCGTGTGTTTTGAGTAGGGCTCTCACGAGTACTCGGGTACTCGGGGCCGAGACGGGTAAAGCAGGACTCGAGTCCAATTGAATGGACTCGAGGACTCGCAGGGGAGATAACTCTAAACGCCTCACGCAATCAAGATGGATGATCGTGAGAAGAAATCCAATGTCTGGACGCATTTTGATCTTGATGTAGTGGCCAAAAAGACGAAATGCCGTCTTTGTGGTGTTTCCCTTAGTTACGCAGGTAGTACAACAAGTTCCATGCGCAAGCATTTATCCTGTAAGCACCCGCAAATAAGCTCTGTAGAGAGAAAACCAGCTCAGCAAACAACGCTGAGGCAGTTTGGTAATTTTGTTAGCAAAAGTCGCAAGCCTGTTGACAGGAAATGGTATGAAGGTATTACGCAAAAAGCAATGCTTATGTGCGTTAAAGATATGCGACCAATAAGCCTTGTTAAAGGGGAGGGTTTCAGGGCTTTCTGTGAAGCTTTGAACCCAAATTACCAGGTCCCATGTGCCGCGACAATTCACAATTACCTCATGAAGTCATATGAAGATTGCAAGGAGAACATAATATCAGTACTCAAAACAGTACCTGCCGTTGCCCTAACTACGGACACATGGACAAGCGTAGCCACTCACGGCTATATCACTGTCACTGCCCACTACTTATCAGATTGGAATTTAAAGTCATGCATCCTTGTAACACGACGTGTAGAGGAGAGGCACACCGGTGCAAATATTGCCGCAAATCTGAAATCAATTCAGGAGGAATTTGGAATCAATACAGTGTCTGGCATTACAACTGACAATGCTTCAAACATGTCAGTTGCAGCAAAAACGGCTGGTTATCCCCATGTCCGCTGTTTTGCCCACACACTGCAACTTGCTGTTCATGATGGGCTCAAGGTACCTGGCATTGAAAACATGCTAATGCATGCACGCAAACTTGTGGCCTTCTTTTCAAAGTCAACAATGGCAACACAGTTTCTCGAAAGTCATCAGAAAAAACTAGGAAAACCCCCAAAACATGTCATCACCGATGTTGTGACGCGTTGGAATTCCGTCTACTTTCTGCTTGACCGGCTGTCCCTCTTGCATGGTGACATTGTTGCAGTGCTTTGTGATCCCCTTCTCAAGAAACACAAACACATAGACCTAAAGGACAACCACTGGACGTTGGTGGACCAGCTTGTCATAGCACTGAAACCTCTTGTTTCAGCAACAGAAATTCTGTGTAGTGAGGAATTTCCAACGGCATCTGGCGTCTGCCCTTTAGTCACTGCACTTGTTGACAATCACCTTGTAGTGAGAGATCTTGACACCAACATCATTGGTGATATGAAGACGAGAATCTCCGCCGGTCTTTCTTCACGCCTCTTTCAGGACGGATTCCTACAATCCCCTACCCTGATAGCGTCAGCACTTGACCCATGCTACAAAAACCTGAAGTGTCTTAAGCCCGAACAGAGAACTAAAGTCCAGGATGCAGTTATTGACCTCATCACTCAGGCAGCAGATGACCAGCCACGTACCAACGTTGACCAAGGTACGGCTGTAAGTGTGAAAGAAGAGCCAGGATCTCCTTTCGAGTCAGCTCAGCCAACTGTGAAGAAATTCAAATTCTGTGAATCAGAAGATGCGATGTCGTTCCTGCTCAGTGACATCATCGAAATATCAGACGACATCGAAGACAAACGAGACATCAGAACAGAATACACTGAGTTCCTGAACGCACAAACACGAGTGAGAGAAAGGTCTACCTTGAAGTCTCTATCGCTTTCTTGGTGGCGGGAGAATGAGAACCTGTTCCCACGTATAGCACCTCTTGCCAAGAGGTATCTCTGTATACCTGGAACCAGTGTTCCATCTGAACGCGCGTTCTCTGCTGCCGAACTCACCATTACTAAACAACGGGCTGCCTTGAGTCCGGAGACTGCAAACGCAATCATATTCCTAAACAAGAATCTACGAGACGCATTAAAAGAGGAAGAGCCCCCTTCAGTCTCAAGCTTGAACCCTGTTATTAAGAAAGAAACTCCTGACGACACTAGAACAGAGATCCCCCTTGCCGCTCCCACAGAGACCTCTCACCAAGCTCCTTTGCCTGCCTTACCGGCTTTCCCTGACATCACAAACTGATGGACTGTATACATCTACAAGAACAGTGTCGACAAAAACGTTAAAGTTAATGTTTCATTTTCAGTATCAGTATAAGTTCATGCTGTTTCAGACTTTAAATTTGTTTGGTTTAAAGTAGATATTTTAGCCATATTGTTAGGCTATATGTGAAAGCATACGGGTGTGTATTCATATTTTTATTTCATGAAGTTGTGTTATTGACTTGTTGTTTCGTGATAAAGTTATGTCACTTTTAACGGCATATTCTAAAGCAAAAATGAAAGATATCTGTCGTGTTTCAATAATAAGCTATGTTCTTTAAAACTTGGCCTTGTGTTCTTGCCTTCTTGCATTAAGTTCATTAAACAAACAATTTGATACAATTAGTCTTCACTCTTGTTGTTCAACTTAATTTCTACATAGATCTTCAGTCGTTCTTATTCAGCGTATTTCAGTGTTACATATTCAATAACAAAACATACATACCCATTCAAAATAACATTCACACTTGGAGACCTAAATCCTGAAATAGTTAAAGTTTTAATCACAATAAATACCATTGACGTGATCTCCGTTCAGGAGAGTTTCGGAAGAAGAAATACAATGTAGTGTTACTCAATAAATGGTTAGTCTTTTGTTTGAAACCCAAACGTTTCCACTATAAGAAGTCTCAAATAAACATCAATCCTGTTTTACATATTATATTTCTTTAAGTCTCATAGTCGATCCACTTTTACAAGATATCCAATGCAGCACCAATCAATGAATGCTTCGTCTAAATATCAGTTTGCGCACATGTTTTGCCGCAATTTAACCATGATTAAGGTTAATTGATTATGTGACTTATCGTCTAGGTGAATGTTTAAAAGTCGCTAATATTTCGTTACTGCATGACACATTAATATTAAATAATCTTGAGAGCGCAATCAAACCTATAACCAAGAGAAAAAAGAAGTACATTGATTGGTTTCTTTTGATCACATTATTGATCGCATACAACTTGGTCACAGTGACACTTACGCTGCCTTCACTTGCAATTATAGAAAGGTAATAGATACTTCCATTGCCATTGAATATCAATTGCCTTATTCAAGAACGTTTAGATTCACATATACATGTTGCATTATTCGTAGATTGGAAGTTGGAACAGCCACGTGTATGCCTGAATGTTGGTTTTAGATAAGCATCCAAATTGTCGGGTACTCGGGTCCGAGTCGGGTCTGACCCCTCGAGTACTCGAGTCCCAAATTTTGGACTCGTGAGAGCCCTAGTTTTGAGTTGGAAGTTGGTTTGCTAATAGTTATATTAGCATGATGGAATGCTTGAAATTTATTTATCATTGGAGTTGGAATTGTACTCAAATGGACACCCAGACTTAGTACGGTTTTTCCTCGGCAACAACTTGTGACAAAAATACACACAAAAAAAGAAGAAAATTCCCTTTCCCCACCCATAGCAATTGTAAACTTCTTTTTGCTCCTTTTAAAGGGGGGCAAGCCTCCTTAAACCCCACCCTTAAAAATGAAATATGACAGTATTTCTCAAAATTAAATTGAGAATATAAAAAGAATCTCTTTATTTCCGTAATGTAAACAACACTGCACTGAAGCCTTACAAAATCATAACAATGAGGCAAGTACAATCTCTGTCGCCTTTGGAACACAGCCAGGGAGTCGGTGTAATACATTTGTACAACGATATTGCAACATCACAGTTAAGCATAGGGACAGGTCCTGAAGTCAGGAAATTGTAATAATATTCAGAAACAAAAAAGGTACAAATATGTTTGATTACACATGCGCTCATTTGGTGAGGGATTCTAAAGGCAGGCTGTAATTTCTAGAATGATGGTCAGTAGTCACTGTGGCATGTTTTTTGTTAAAATTCACTACAACTGTATAATAGGTATATAAGGGATGGTTGCTGAGATGTAGTGGGTACTACTACTTTGGATTTACGCTCATCTGTCTGCTTACATCAACGTTTCAAGACCGCCGCTCAAAGAAGCCTCGTCTACAATGAACTCTCACAGCTGTCAACAATCTTCAATCAGTACATCTGTTTTAGTACTTTTACTGGGAATATCAAGACTTTGGTGAGTTAATATTTTAGATTTGTGACCCAATAGTATTGTATTAGAAATCTGTACTTCATTCATTGTAAACTTGTTTATTCAATGTATAATTGAGCATTATAGACTTGTATTATTTTGCTGGTTCAAAGGAGACACGCAAGCCTTGTATCTCATTAATTTCAAAACCGTAACATAATATTTGAAGATTCGCAAATTTGTAGTAATTCTGATCGAGCAATTAGTTATACTATGTTTGATGCAGCTGATGTTTGTTTGATGTCCTTACATTGATTATTCAATTTATTGAATAGTTTATCATGCATCAATAGTTTACCCAGGCCTGCGAAATATTATCGCCAGTCTCATAAAGATATGATCTTATACTTCTGCCAATCTAATCATATATAGTTACCTAGAGACAGTTTCACATTGCCATTCTAACTAAAATATTCCTTTGTCACTAAATGTATATTGATTTGATATTTTCATGTTATTCACTGAATATACTTAATGTGAATTATTATACAACTACATTCATGAACACTGATTAACATGCTAATTAACTTAATAAGCTCAAGTAAAATGTATTACTCATATCACTTATCAGTGTCATTATCAAATAGGCTATAAATAAACCTGTTATGAGTGAAAATATTGACAATTTTTAGGACAGGGTCAGCAGTTATTCCTTGAATAAACGAATTCTGTGACTGTGCATGTATTTGTTAGTGTAGTTTGAAATACCTTTTCTGAACAGCAAAGTCCAGTACATAATCTGGTTCAACTTTGGCAACTGACAAAGCTGATTTCTCAGTCAGTTGCAATCTCTTCAACTTTTCTTCTACATCCGCAAGTTGTAATCGTTCCATACTTTCCTCTACGTTTGTCTCAGTTTCCATTGTAAAAATGGGCTGTTGCTCTGTCCAAACTCACATTTTCCACGAATGTTTACAAATCAACAAGATCAAAACAAATCACACGTGTGTCAGAAAGCTTCCATATTGGATCTGTTAAAATCCGGGTGACCTAGATCTGTACGAACAAGATATTCACCGGACAAAACCAAAAGTAAAGTGAAATTCACCCTATCCATTGAAGAGCGTAATGATGTTAAAATCCTTCCGATATTTGCAAATGTAAGTCGCAATACTCACTGGTAAATTGAAGCAATTTGACGTCACAGTGTTTAATTGTTTAAAAAACCCCGAAATGATCCTATGACGCAAATCAATTGTTCATGAAACGTCCTCAGCAGGGTTGGAATTGCCAATGTCTTTTTGTCTTGATTTTCTCTCCCCCTACACTCAGTGAGTGGTTAATATCATGAATGAGCTAGTCGGAACTGCCAATTAATTCTGGATCATCTGTCCATCGTGAATGAATCTGCAAGTTCCTCGACAACGGCACAGAGTTTACACCACGCATTTATTCACCAGGGACAGATATATGTCATTCCTTACGTGGCTAGTTATATTTTCTGTAGTTATTGATTTGGTGGAAAGGGATATGAAAATGTTTTTGGAATAACAACACACACTGATACCTGTATGATACTGTAAAAGATCCGGGTTAGAATCTTCAGCAATCAATGCTGGTCAAAATAGGCGACTAAGGGGATTGGTTGGTCAGACCCGCTGAGTTGGTTGACACACGACATTGTATCCTAAATGTGCAGATTGATGATCATGGTGTCAATCACTGGATTGTCTGGTCCAGACTCGATTATTTACAGACAGTCGTCATATAGCTGGGAAATGCTGAGTGCGGCGTTAAACAACCAACCAACAATATTTGGAGAGGTCAGTGTATGGTTTCTCGTGAAAGTGACGACCTACGACTAATATTGTCGTTTATCGGAGTAAATTTTAGAAATAACGGAAATACTGACGGACTACTTCTCTTGGAAAACCACGAGGGACATCGTATCAACCTTTGACATTCAGTTAGATCCTCACTGTGAGACGGTTCGTACTCCAATGTTCTCACACACAATGAAACAGCATCAAGTCAACCCCTCTACTATTGTTGACGATTCACTGAATACTGCATGCACCGGTATCCCAGTTCTGGTCGCTACAAACGTTTCGTGAATTCATTCAAGTTACAATGTTTTGGAATTACTGTTTGTCTAAGTTCTAAGACTGAATCAATGATCTGAAACTAGATGGATTATATAATTTATTAAAACACCATAACATCTTGATAAATTTAGACATGATAGTGACACATTCAACATATAGTATGGATGACACGTCTATCTTCTCCACTTTCACAGAACTCGCAGCCATCAGAGAACACCGAAACTTTTAACATTCAGTGCTCAGAGTGAATGAGAAAGGTTCAGCACCGCCTTTAATAATATTCCAGAGATATCACCATATACTGGCTTCACGCATTGTACCCATGTGGGGAATCGAACCCGGTTCATCAGCATGACGAGCGAACACTTTAATCACTAAGATACCCCACTGGCCGGAACCCTTCCGTGACAGCTTGTTTCCAGTGATTTCAACTGACATATATACTTCCAGGAGAAGAAGTGGTTTCGTAGAACGCCGGTACACTTAAAATGGGAATTCCGCCTGATACCAAGAATCCTGCTGGCCGGGGTTTTTGTTTACACTAGAACTAGGAACACATCCCCATTCCAGGTGACATGTAGGTCAACGGCTGCGCAGTCAAGGCAGCGTTGTACAGCTTCGGGCAACACCAACATGCCTCGGGTTGACCCGTGGTCCACTCAGTCGATGTGCAGATCCTGCTGATTGAGGGTTCTACACATGGATTCACCAAGTGTTCTAGTTCTATGGCACCTGGGTCTGTTGTCATACATTTACACATGTTACAGGGTTTGTGGAGCGCAGTAGTGCAGTGGTAAGGCGTCTGCCTATCACGCTGAAGACCTGGGTTCGATCCCCGGTGGAGGCACCTAGGTTCGGGTCCCGAGGTGGGCACATTTGCGTAGTATCCTTGGACAAGATACTTAGATCCACATTTTCTTAGTTCACCCAGCTGTAAAATGGGTACCCGTGGGGATGTGCTGGCAATGTGAGTGTTAAGTTCGTTGCGCCTAACAGGCTGTATACTCCCCAGGGAGTTGAAGAAGTATCGGAAAGTACGAAAGTGTCCTATGACAGGGGATAGTAATGTACGTAGCGCCGTGAGCAGGCAATGTGCCTGGATATGAGCGCCATATAAGCGGACTATTACTATTACTGCTTCTAAATTTGTTTTGTAAGAATTTTTTAAGTTCAACGCATGAAGCCTCCAACTGAACGAGTAGTTATTTATAATGTGTATGGTTATAAAACTAAACTCACTCTCCACGTATTCTCCATGTAATGTATTTATTAATTTTCAACCCGTGAAGGTCCGGGTTAGAATGAACCTTCAGTAACCCATGCCTGTCGTAAGAGTCGACAAACGGGATCGGGTGGTCAGGCTCGCTGGCTTGGTTGACACATGTCATCGGTTCCCAATTGCGCAGGGTCCATGCTCATGCAAAACTAAACTCACTCACTATTATTTTTCAGCTGACGCAGCAGTTACATGGTGCTGTACTATCCTCGATGCGGGCATGTGTCGAAAGTAGGGTCTGACGGGCGGCCTTTTACGTAGTATACTTGGGAAGTAATAACGGACGACTGGAATGGTGACTGGAAACACAATTACCAGAGTTTTACTCAGATGTAATAATTGATATGACCTAGGCACGTGTCATCAAACAAAAAACCCATTTCATAACCAAATCATTGACTATAAAAAAACAACAACTAATGGATAAAATCACTAACGTGGATCCAAAACAGATATTTTGTTCCATTTTGAGATATAGTTGATATAGTTGACGTAGTTTGGGAAGAAAGAGAGAAATACAATTACTGTATATTTCTGTGTCAAAACACGAATCTGCATCGGTTTTCTTACAATCATGTCCACATATCCAGAACAGCGTTCGAAGAATTTATTTGATCGTTTGTTACTTAGCAATATTGCAGGTACAGACGAAGTTCTATTATTTGATTTTCGAACACAATCCAGTTACTGACACTGATCAACGCTGCTCGGAAATGATGCCTTGGTCGTAGTGGCCTCATACGAGCAGCGTTGTTTGATCATGACCAGTTAGTGAGTGAGTAAGTTTAGTTTTACGCCGCACTCAGCAATATTCCAGCTATATTCCAGCGCCATGAGCATGCTTACGAGCGTGGATTTGTGCGCACTATAAATAGGCACTATTATTATTATTATTATATGGCGACGGTCTGTGAATAATCGGATCTGGACCAGACAATCCAGGGATCAACAGCATGAACACCTGTCTACGCAATTGGAATTCGATGACTTGTGTCAACCCAGTCAACGAGCCTGACCACCCGATCCCGTTAGTCACTTCTTACGACAAGCATGGGTTACTGAAGATCAATTCTAACCCGGATCTTCACGGGTCTATGACCAATTACATCAGGAAACCAGTATATAAACTACGGCAGTGTGCACTTAGAAAATTTATAGTCCTGTACTTCAACGATTAGGAACGTAATGATGTATTAGTTTGACTATTTCTTCTTTATCAAAAAACTAAGAAATGCAATTCAGTCTCTGAAGTCGTGATTGAAAAGCCAAAGCTGTGCTCTTTTAGGAATGACCCTAAAGACAAGAAAATTTCTGCAGTCACTAAATATTTGCATATCTGACACACTTATTACGGATAAATAGCGTATTGATAGTACCTATTTTAATGCAGCGTTAGAAATTGAGCAGTCACAAAATGCATTGTATAGTTCCTCATAAAAAAATCACACAACATAAAAAATATCTTCAATTCATTGTGACGTTTACAAACCAGTCGCGGGGTTTTAATCACTCGTGTTTACATACTGTCTAGCTTCAGCTGCTAATCTGCCGTTAACGGGTGTGGGAGTTTGCATTGCTGATGACGATAAGTAGCTAAACAAAGACTTTCTGACTCTCGTCTCAGCATATATACGTATACACATGTGCTCTCGATGTTGGTTTTGTGGTCAGTTGCCCTGGTGATGGGTATGGGTAACCCAGCAACATGTGTGACATGTGATTCGCTTACACATAACATTTTACACAGAGAAGAGCACGTCATCATCATAGTTTCTGTGTAGGTATTTGCACACTTTCTCGCTCTATCGCTTTTTCCTAATCAAACGTCCATGTCAACTTCTTGCGAGCGCCAGGTTCGTTGAAAGTGGTACGTTGTTGACGGTGACGTGAAAGGATATCCCATACATGCACGACGGGTTCAGGCTAGGGGTGACTATTGAGTGGGAAACAACTATTGCGATAGCGATAGTCTATTGTGACCAACTATTGCAACAGGTTTTTTTGCTCCTTGAATTGTCTCATTTGAAGTCATTTCTCAAATGAATGTATAGTTTATATGAAATTAAAACAAGTTAAAATATTTTCAGTCTCTTCTAATAACTGACAACAAACTTGAAACCCAGATCAAGTAAACAGTTAACCCATAAGTTCTTTGAGAGGCATTTTAGTTGTGAGGATGAAGGAAAACTAAGTTCTAATAAACTTCTATGGATAGTCAACTTCTTTATTGCAATGAGTGCGACGTTTCGGTGTAGGTACTAACACCGTTATCAAGCAAGTGATGGGGAATATATACATTGCTGCATAGTGAGTATATACAATTAACAAGGTTGATGAGAGAGAGAGAGAGAGAGAGAGAGAGAGAGAGAGAGAGAGAGAGAGAGAGAGAGAGAGAGAGAGAGAGAGAGAGAGAGAGAGAGAGAGAGAGAGAGAGAGAGAGAGAGAGAGAGAGAGGTGTCATCAATTTTGCATACATGCACTTGGTGTGTTTTCATGAAGGAAGAGGGGTGGGGTGGGGTGGGACTGTCATTCACATTGTACGTGCTTCTCCATAAAAATCATCATCACTCGATCCCAGCCCAGCTATACATTATGAACGGTCCCTTACAAAATTTTCGATCGAACTTTTAACAAACATTTGAATATTGCTATATATTCTTTAATACTT